TCAAAATGCTTAATATTGAGGGGGGGGATAGTGTTGTATTTAGTCAATGAACAGTGCATCGTAAGTCCAGGAAAAAAACGAAACAAAAAAGATGTGTTTTGACTACTGCACAAGTAATAAGATTTTAAGTAAAAAAGCCGTTGAAGTTTGTGATTCTCCTAGGTGGCATTTCCACTCTGCATTGAAATAAAGTTGCATTTATCAAGGTGCCATAGCACATTCTATCTATCTGTAGAGTAATGTTGTCATTTCCTATTAGTTATGATCATGATCGTTGTTATTGGAAAAAAGAAATTAATTGCTTCACATCACAACATTGTTCTGAATAGCAGAAGCTGACAGATCATCAGTACCTTTTTTAAAAGCATGATAATACCACTTACTGCTCGGAAATAAATCTATTCTAAGTATAAAGAGAATTGCTAATGTTTTGTTTTTCAGTTATTTTTGTTTGTGGGTTGTATATAAGAAAGCTAAAACATGGTGAATATTTGGAAGAGTATACTAGCTTCTTAGAGAAAAAGTTTAAATATTTCCTTAAGACAGCTTTTGATTTCCCTGGAAAAGATAGTTCTATTGTATCTTGTTAATTTATCTGCCACATTGGTGTTATAGAATCATATGACATGGATTTCTAATTTATTGATTGTTTATAATAAAATATTGTAAAATGTTTGGAGACTTACATGTATTGTATTCATAGTATCGTTAGATGAAAAAAAAAAACTTTTTTTAAATAGTTTTTATTGGAAATTTCCCAAGAAGCAATGGCTCTTACAACAGCTCTTAAACATGTTACCATGTGCTGGCAGAAATCAGTTGGTAATGGCCCAAATGTGAAAAAAAATTGTTTACTCTCTGAAAAAACTTGAAGCAAATGCAAGAAAAAGCATATATTGAAGGCAAAGACCATGACAAAATGATGATTTGCAGATACATGGCAACACCTGATTCTGTTCTAATGTCTGGTACTGTAATCAATGTGGAGCAGAAATGCATCACAATGGCAAACACACAAGGAAGTTGGATAAGACCAGATAAGGAAGGAAGTTTGTCCCCCAGTGCATTTTATACATATAATCTGGAGAACCACAACTTCTGATCACTCCTGGAACTGCAAATATACTCATCCAAGTTCATTGGGAATATATAACAGGTTATCCACACATGAGGATTGTTACAGTGCACAGTATTTTCATTAATGTTTAAGTTTAAGACATGAAATGTCTCTTAGACAACAATTGGGTTAGTGGACACTGTGACTGAGGCCTTACATTCTAGATCATCCCTGGAGAATGTCTTTAATGCTGATGCATATGTTTTCAGTCTATTTACAACTTTATTAACTCAATTGAGTTAAAGGGGTGCATTTTAATTGTGTACAACTTTGGCTTGAAGTTTAATATTATGGAAAAGGGCTTATGGATAATTCCTAACAATTCTCCTACCAAATCACTAGATACCTATACTTGTTTTTACAAAATAGAAGATAATTGTGTACCTTGGTTCCAACAAAGGCCTCTCACATAAATGCATTGACGTTCCTAACATTTATAGATGTTCAGATGGCTTCAGATTGATTTGAGCGAGTGGATCATTCTTGCACTTCTTGACATTCCATTTCAGAAAGATTCATCCAACTGTGGAACTTTTGTATGCCCCTACATGTACTATGTAGTGGATCAGTGATACCCTTTCCTGTCAAGATGAATTTTGTATTCCAGAGGATCATGACTGAATTTCTTTTAGAAAGAACATTTCTTCCAAAACCTACACCAGTGAAGAAAAAAGACAGCAGACCAAATAGATAAATTAAGGAAATATCAAGAGTGATTTTAGTACATCTTTTTCCAGAAACACACCCAGGAAGCATTATGCACTTTAGAATTCCTAACCACAGCACTGGAGGAGTATCATAGATCAACCTGGACCATGTAATTCATTTGAAACTTGCATTAAAGGCCAATAGAGTCTACAATGATACTGAGCAAGGATATACGTCAGGACAGACTGGTACAACATGTAATATCTGGTGCTAATTTCTGCTCTACAAGTTCCATACAAATGCCTAAAATGTTAATGATGTAAGGTACAGTAAAAAAAAATATTTTGTAGAAAACGGTTTCCTTTAGTTGCAGAAAGAAGGAAGATATTTTCAAATGCACTGCTGACTAGTTTTAAAATGAGTATTGTTTTCTGTTTTGTCCTAAAATGTTGCAAAACAGCATGAAGGATTTTAAGACAAGTTTGTCTCTTCAATTTGCTCAAACTTTCTCCTGCCCACTTAATTATTTTGTTAGTATTATGTGTGTGTCTTTTACTCTTTACACAACTTTAGAATAGTGTTCTAAGAAATTTTATCAGTAAAGCTGTTATAGCACATAATGGTTTGTTTGCCTTTTTTTTTTTTAAGTGGACATACACGTTGCTGTTTTTTTTGTCAAATCTATACTTTTATTTAGCTACGCTTTACTTAATATTTGAGTTCATTTTTATGTTCATGTGTTGCTCTATTTAGGGATTTTTATTGCTTAACAACTGTAGCTGTGTACCAAATCTTTTAATAATAAAACATTTATTACTCACTTATGATGAATTAATTTTCAATATCACTCAGCAAATCATATTTAGCAGGTCATGAGATTTTGTACTGTTTCCAATTCATGTCTGGTGTGGATCAACAAGGCATCTGCAAAAAACAACAACATATGAATCATATAAAAGAAAAATTAATTAATTAATAAATAAATGAATGAATGAATAAATGCCAATCACTGCTTCTTCTGTTATGAATATAGTCTTAAGCTCATTGGCACACTGTTGCAGCCATACAGCCTTGACAGAAAAGTGGTACATGTAACAAGTTTTAAATGTAGCTGAAAGAAGGTGTAACGTATCAAAAACTTACCACAATCAGAAATCAACTTAAGCTCTTTTTATTACTGTGAGTTACTTAATAATTAATGCATCTTATTAGCTTCTCCTGGTACTTAGCAAGTGAATGTTTTCTGAAGGATTTGATAACAGTATTGGAATTGTGTTATTTTCCACTTAGGTATATCCTACATATCGTTTTCATTTAGTCTGTGTCTAATGTTCTGGGCAGATGTGTGACAAAACTATTGATAGTCTAGAATGGGTGGTTGAATGTTTGTTGGGAAAGATTTTTCATCAGCATGCCGCAACTCCCATATTTATTACATGCATGAATTTAATCTTGTATGTTTGAAACCAAATGTTCTGGGCAGATGTGTGACAAAACTATTGATAGTCTAGAATGGGTGGTTGAATGTTTGTTGGGAAAGATTTTTCATCAGCATGCCGTAACTCCCATATTTATTACATGCATGAATTTAATCTTGTATGTTTGAAACCAAATGTTTGTGTTATTTTAGGGGTTAAAAAATTGGTTCTGGATCAGAATAGTTAAGTCAAATATATTGTAAATCAGTTCTCCTTACTAAAATATTCTCATTTGTTTGCTGCTTTTCATACTATTTTTCAGAAAGTTTTTTCTTTAATGTGATGTTCTAGCTTTTACCCTATCCTGTATAAGTCTTCTTAATAATGGGAGGATCCAGCAAGAAATTCACAGAGTGATCTGAATATGAAAACTGACTGACTTTTACACTCTGTGAGAAATAGACAATTATTTTGATGTTAAATGAAATTATACTTATGACACAACAACAAAACTGAGTACTTGTGTAGACAAGTGGACAGTTGCCTCTACTGGATCAGTGAATAGATCTGTAACTTTCTTTCTCTCAAAATAGATTTTCCTGAAACTAGTCAAATGAAAACCATCTAGAACTAAGAAACTAAATTATGATTTAGCATTTGTACATTTGTTCTTAAAAATATCAGCATCATGCGATGTGATGTCACTCTCTCGCAGCAGTTGTCAGCTAGAACATATATCATCCATTCAGCCACCAAAAAGGACACTGCAGCATTTTTGCAGGCAACTTAGGGGTCATCTGCTATGAGAACAACAAAGAAAAGTAGAAACAAACAATTTCAACAGTTTTTCCATCCCTTGTTTATGTCAAAACTGCATAGCAACAAACTAAGCAAAAAAATTCTACATTTCTAAAGATGGTGGAAAAAATACATGGTATGCCCTCATATCACAGTATTACTATGTATGATAGTTACTGTGATTTATATTTTGCCAACTTAGAATTAAATATGAATGTTGCATAATGTAATATAAGAAAATCTAAATTTCAAATGTTGAAAATTCTACTATATTTGTAGTTTTATAAAGTTTTAAGATTTCCAACAATTATATGCACAAACTTCATGCATGAGTCACATCAAAATAAACCTACCAATTATTGTTTTATGGACAATAAACTGAATAAGAACCATTTGGTCCTTCAAGGTTGCACACACACCCTTTAAACTTCAAGAAATCATCAGTTTCCCTCTTCATAAACTCTTTTAAAGTACTGGCATCCACTATTGTCAGTAGCAACTCATTCCATAAACCAACCATCCTGTTATAAAAATATAACTTAACTAGAGCTTATCATGGCTTTCTGAAATCCTAAGCTTGTGTCTTTTCATTCTGTTGTACTCAAAATATAGCACAAAGAAAATAAAGGCCTTTTTTCCAGTAAATGTCAATAATATTACCTTTTTCTCATCTTTTCTCAAGAGAAAGTATTGTACAAGTTTAGAATACTTTATGATACCATTATCAGAGTTAAACTGTTAGTTTAGTTAAATTTGTAATAAAGTGAAAAAAGTATATATATATCAAAATAACATATAAGAAACCAACAGTAGAAGTAAAACTATGCTAGTTTTATACATTTTTTTATGTGAAAAGTAATGATAATTAGACTTCAAATATTATATAAACAAATTACAGAATAACTGAATGGCCAACATGGAATATACCAAGCTATGTTTTCAACCTGTGAAGTGTGGGTCATAGTTCAATCAGTATAGTAACAAGATATATATATATATATATTTTTCTTTGACAGGTTTTACAGACTTTGTATTTTCGTTGACTGTTGATCAAGCATCACACTCAAGAAATCTAGTTTCTTTCTGCAAGTATATTTAGTGGGGTATTTTAGGTTCTGCAGATTTTTTACAGTTAATTTACATTCTTTTTATGATGAACAATCAACACCATGTTTCACATTATGTGCCTACCATAAATTACTTGAATCATACACCTCGACGCATTCTACATTCTAAAAGAAACCATGACTTGTGTCCCACTCCAAAAAGCCGCAGAATAAACATGCTGGCAGAAGATGAAAGATATTGTTCAAAAACAGTATTCCCAGGGAAAGGCATAAAGTAAGTGTTACTAGTTCTTGTATCATACATCATGGTGGTGCAAAAAAGTGATTTATCATTGATGAATACATTAAAAAGTGTAATGTTATAATTTTTTTTAAAAGTTAGTTTAGGTAACGAATTTCCAATATATATTTTTAATATTTTATGATATAGAAATCATCACTTATAAGGACTTTCTGCAGTTAAATATTTATAGGTTAGGCATAGATGAAAGAAGCTTATTAATTGATGAAAGGTGGGTAAGCTGATATATAACAACATTAATTCTTTTAGCATGGGCTCGGTTCTTGGGACTGACCTCATAACCATTTTGTGCTTGTTATAGTTTTCATGCCATGACTTTTAAATTGGTAAGCGAATGTTAACATTTGATTATCAGTAAACATTACAATGCTTTCATATGCAAAATATCAAATTTTTTTATTAAGTTTTAAGGTTTGTAAAGCAATGTTTTTCTCGTGTCTTTTTGCATGTTGCCTACCTATCATGCAAAGTAATTTTCATTTTAAGATTAAAAATGCTTTTATGCATCAAAGAATTTTCAAATTTCACGTGCAAAATTTTTATAAGGTCCAGATAGTTATCAAACATTTCTTAAGAAAAATATTTAT